GGAGGGCCACCAAAAGTCCATTTGTATGCCAGGGATAAATACCCATATATTGGCCAGACCTCCTTGCTGAAAACTGCATTCAGGGGGTCTGGATCAGTCCCATACTAGCCTCCCTGTCATCAGCCGGGGGTTGAAGATCTGCCCCTTGCTGAACTGTCTTGAATAAAGAGTCTCATTCTCAACCCCTGAGAGGCAACCAATTGTAATACCTATATTGATATTACTTAGTGAGTCACTTGGAGTATCATTACAAAATATATAAAAGTATGTTTCTCAAGCCAGGCGGTGGTGGCGCATGCCTTTAATCCCAGCACTTGGGAGGCAGAGGCAGGTGGATCTCTGTGAGTTCGAGACCAAGCCTGGTCTACCGAGCGAGTTCCAGGACAGGCTCCAAAACAATACAGAGAAACCCTATCTCGAAAAAAACAAATAAAAAAAGTATGTTTCTCTTGGCTGATACCAGGATTTTTTTAGTCTATGGTTCTTACAGTGCATAACTTACTTTCTAAGTTACATGTGTGTAAATGCATAGATGAGTTTAAATAATTTTAAATGAAATATATGATCTCTTGAGCATTTAGTCAAACAACCTTGCTGTTATTTGTCCTTTGTGACTCCTTGTCATTCAGTATTGATTTTCCCCTTTGTATCATGCTCCCCATTTTCCATCCTCCCTCTTCCCAGTCACAAAACTATTCCCATTTTTATATTTATCAATTCATACCCACCTCTATTTTGCTATTTTCCTCTCTAGATTCACTTCTCCTGTCTATGGTCCTTTTATTATTTGATCTGACCTGAAGCCTCCTCCACTAAAGAAGAGTTTTCATGGTGCCAGATATTGTATGCAAGTCTTCACAGGAAGGAAGAAACCAACAGTCCTATACAGCTATGATGCCTGCGTATTGCCTTTTGAATGAAGTTGGAAAGGAAATTAATGAATGAGAAACTCGAAGCTTGGAAATAAATAATGCCTTCCCACAACCAGAGGAATAGATGTTAGAGAATTAAGACTGAAGGAATCTTGTATGATCTTGTATGATCAATCTTGTATGATTAACCAGTGTTTCTTGTAAATCCAGAGTAGAGGCAAATGGCAGTTTCTACAAAGACAAGTTTTGTTAATGGGTATATTAAGTATTTATAATTTATGAGTTATTAAAATATTTTTATCATCCCTACCTGAAATGAATAAACTAAACATCTGTTATGTTTCACTTATTGGGTGTTTAAATTCTCACTAAATAAATTAGGATTGATTTTTAAAAATTATTTTTCCTCTTTATTTGTTTATTTAGTAGATTTTGTTGTCATCACCATTGTTGTTTGAAACAGGGTCTCATATCATAGCCGTGAGTGGGATCAGCTGCCCTCTGGAGCCCAGGCTGGTCTTATGTGTACAGCACTCCTCTTACCTCAGACTTCTAAGTGCTAGAAATACAGGTACAAACCACCATGCCAAGCTATTCTTCCTCTCTCTTTAAAATATATTTGTGTGTATGTGCATGTGCACACATGCACGCACATGTGAGTTTGTGTACACACGTGCATGTGTGCACATGCCTTTGGATGCAGAAACACCCTAAAACTGGAGTTAGAGGCAATTGTGGCCAACCTAATATGGGTGTTAGGAACAGAATTCTGATCCTCTGGAGGAGCAGCAAGCACTCTCGACCTCTGAGCCTTTTCTTCATGCCTTGGTCTCTGTATTTTTAAGTGTTATTCATAAGACAGATAAAGATTCAAGGACCCAGACCTCCTACTTCTTAAACAATGACTGCATTTGCACTCCTGGATACTACATCTTAACAAAACTATGAGTAGCTGTGTTAGCACAGAGATGTAACCTGTTTTATTTTTTTTTCTCTCCCTAAGAAGAATTAAAGATGAAGTGAGCTTTCTTGTGGAAGAATATTCTCTTTGCCATCAAGCTGGCATTAATTTCCTGTTCAAAAGGGGCTATATTGTCAATGTGACACTTTAATCAGCCACCAATGTGACTGGGAAACACAGACTTCACAATCAATGTCAATGTGTTTCATGTCGCCTCACTACCTCTTAGTCATTCTGCTTCAGAAGTGTGTGGAGGGTCAATACATTTCATTAGTTTGTTTCATCTAGAGGAGAGCACAACATGAGAACTTTGATTATATTATAAGAATTGCCTTAATGTGACACCAATTCCCTGATTGTGCAATACTAGGCATTCAAGTGCTGGAGGGCAACCAAATTATCCTTCACCCAACTGTTCATGGAGCCGTCAGCTGCAAAATGTGCTGTAAGGAAAAGAAGAACAGAAAACCCAGCTCAGACTACATAGCAGATACAAATTGCACTGTCATAAACCCAGCACCCAAAAGGATCACAGAGGTTAACTTTGAAGGCCACCAGTGAAAAATAACAATTCCTTTTCAGTGTCTAATTACAGTAGTATACATATTTATGATTGGATTTTAATAGTTAATTTCAGAGTACTACTATGTAATTAACTGCAATAGAATGTTTACATGATTTTTAATTTTTTCCTCAATGGGTTCATTTCATGAGCATGTTAGAAACACAAAATAAATGCTTCTTCCTTCCGAAAACTTACCTCAGATTTCTCTATAGGTTTCACGAAGCATTTTCTGTGTGCCCTTTCCTGGGACATCACACTGTGGTGAGGAGGCTTCCACTCCACTTCTGAATAGCAGATCTTTCTCAATGGAATTCATTCTGACTTTTATTTTAATGATAATTGTGTAATTTATTCCATTAAATTCGTCACAGATTTTCTTGCTTGCCCCTTAGCTTATTTTTTTTTTTGCAATAGATTCAGCATTTCAAACAGTAGTAGTCAAGGATTTAGGATTTATTAACCAAGTATAATTCTCATTTTAGGTTTGTTTCCACATCAAGATGTGTCTCCTACTCAGAATGAGTTATTATTGCAACATGGCATGTTCAGTGACCACATCCACTTCAGTGGCCACTTCCAGTTAGAAACAGTTCACAGGCAACGTTCAAGATCTGTTTTCTCCTTTCTGACCCATTACTACCCCCACCAGCCTCATCGCAGCTGGGCCTCCCTCTCTCTCTCCCCTCTCCTCCCATAACCCTTAGACCCTTGCCTTTCATGATCTGTGCTAATTGTTGTGCAGTCTGAATCATTCTTCTCCCAGAGACATGGCTAGAGTTTGTCATGCCAGCTCTCCTTGCTTTTTGCTGTTTGCTGGACAGCACCTAGCCACAATTTCTCATCCAAACCACTATTCAATATTTTTCAGAGACTCTGCACAGTGAGGAGACAAATATCAGATGTACTCTGGCTGAAATCACATTTACCTTTCTTGAGGATAAAAACAAGAAGCCATTTCTTTAAAATACTAAATGAATCCTATAAATGCACTGTGTATTACCCATATTGATGCATAAATATTGCAAAACATGAAGTTACAAAACCACATACCATTAAGGTATTTTTCTGGCTAGTTACTTTCATAAATAACATAAGCATTTTTTGCCAAAAAATAAGGACTATCATAGAAAAATAACGTTTTATGTTATAATGCTTTATGTCATCCAAAATATGTTTGTATATTGTAGAGTCTGTTATCAGAGTCTTTAGTATATTGCTAATGATGCTTTTTTATATTTGGCTACTGAGACTAAATAAAAGTGTTGTTCACTGATGATCAGAATTTAGCATAACTAGCCAAGTGTGATGGGTGGAATGAGAATGGCCCCCAAAGGGATTAGCACTATGAGGAGTGGTGGCCTTGTTGAAGGAAATGTGTCACTGTAAGCGTGGGCTTTGAGGTCTCCGATGCTCAAACTACACTGGGTGAGACCGTTCAGGCCCTGCCCCCCTCAGATCAAAATGTAGCTTGTTCTCCACTCTAAGCTCCTTCTCAAACATCATGTTTACCTGCATGCTTCCATGTCCCACCATGTCCCTCTGTGATGTTAACGGACAAAACTTTGGAAATGGTAAGTTACCTAATTAGATATTTCCTTTATAAGATTGGCATGGTCATATGTATTCTCAGCAAGAGAAACCCTAACTAAAACATTAAGTATTTTATTTTATTTTTTGATTTATTTGTTTTGTTTTATGAGTATGGGTACTTTTACATGTATGTATGAGGACTACATATGTCCTTCATACTCTCAGAGGTAAGAGGAGACCATCAGATACCGTGGAACTAGAGTTATGCATGGTTGTGTGATACCAGTTTGTGCTGAATACTAAACCTTGCTCCTTCAAAAGAGTAATAACAAGTGTCTAACTGCTGAGCTGTCTCTTCAGCCCCAATTTTTAACACAACTACAGAGATAAAACATGTATGTATACAGGTATGGTGTTTACATTCAGCAAGTATTCAGAGGATATTTACTTAATCTTTCATGCATAGATCTTAGTTGTATGACAGGGATTTCAACATGGCTACTAAAGGTATGCATTTAACACACTGTAAGAATTCTCTAGGTAAGTGTCCTGTGTATGTGCTAAGGTTAAGACAGCTGTTCACTTCTTTGCCCATGTCTGCCTTCTGAGCTTCTGCACTGGGGAGATTCATCATGTAGTTAATCCTCATACACCCCTGTGAATCCTTCCTTCTTTGTAGAAGTCTCTCACTCTCAGAATTCTCCTGAAAGATATTCTTTTATAGAGACCCACTCACTAGCTGACCCCTGCTCAGAGTAGCTAGACTTTTCTATTTCTGGAAATAAACGAAGAAATAAGAAATGGCTACATTAGGTAGGCAATGAACAACACATTCTATAAAACAAAGTTTATGCTCAGTAAGCATGATTTTAAGAATATAATCAAGAACTGACATGATATATAGGATATGTTCTATAAAAAGATAAACAAAATTAGAATCTAAAAATTGAATTTAGGGCAAGAAAACATTAAGTAGAACAAATACAATCATTTTTAAATAATGAAATTATACAAAGCAATGTTTTGTCAACTTTGAAAAGAATTAGACAGCTATCTAAAGTAAAGACACAGGGAAAATCTTCAAAATAAATGTTTGTAATTATACACTTATATTATTGAAAACTGTATAATGTTTGGAAATAATAATCACACATACACAAATATACACAAAGGAGGATATGCTCTCATATACATTTATGCTTGCAAATGCACTGAAAGTTCTTCAAAAGTTACCAAAGACGAAGGCAACAACACTTGAATATAGATATGGTAGACTCTAGATGGCAGCTAAGTATAAAAAGAAGATTGTTTAGTCTTTGCAATTTTCTGTATATTCTGAATTTCATACTTTATAAACATAATATCTATGAACATGCAGTTAATTTCTGAGTATGCAAATAAATGTCAGAAACAAATCTTTTTGGTAGACATATCCTAAGGGTGAAGTGAGAGAGGAGAGCCTTGTGACAGCAACAGGAAGGAAGCTGGCAGCTTCTTCCTGCACAAAATCAGAGTAGGAGCCAACTTCCGCTAATTCTAAGTCCAAGTGATAGAAATGTAGTATTGTCTCATGTATCCTCAGAAGGAATAAATGGGCTACAGTTGATTAATGAGGAATTTCTTTTTTGACAACCTCACTATAAACCTGTTAGCATCCGTAGAAACAGCAACTCCCATATACAAAATCACACACAATGTTTTCCCACTAAGAGGAATTTAAAGGAAGTATTAAGATTCTGCCATGATATTTGACCTCTGGTCAAAGTTTGAGCTGTCATTTCACCAAGGAATCCTGGAATTTTGACACTATTTTAGAAGTTTAAACAAAGCAAATAAAAAGTATTCTACATCCTTACTCATTGGGAATACACTCCAGTGGTCAAGATCTGATACGATAAAACAGCTTCAACAACTTCATTCCATTTTTTGTACAGTGTGCTCTGATAATATTTACTATTTCTACCCTTTTTTAAGATATAACCCTAGGCATCCAACTTTCTGTTCCATTTTTTTTCAGCCAAGCACAATATCTACCTCCCTTAAATTCTTTGATAGTCAGATTTCTACTGGCACTTGGTTGACTTAAATATGACAGATACTTCATTGTAACAAAACTATGCTTAATGATATTTATAAAGCATAATGAAATGAGAATGTAAAGTAACTATTCTTTTTTTTTGCTTCTCAAATGCTGATTGTTCAGCTACAAAACTCACTCATTCCCCTCTTCAGTTCTCAATTCATTATTGTTAACACAACTTCATTTCTACTTAGCTATTCTAAGGTCAGCAGTCTCTTGAATCTTGAGAAAAAAATCCTTTGGATTCTGAGGCTTTAAAGAAGTAATTTAATTGACTTAGGACTTGACCTCAAACTAAAGAAGTGAGATGAAATTGAAGAGAAGTACATAGCATGCAAAATTCCTCCACAATTCTCCACAGGAACCAGGTTTCTAGCACCCATGCCTGGGGTGAGCATTCTCCTTCCTGATGAATGTGAGGGATTGTTGAGGAGCTCTAACAAGTCAGCAGACATGATGTGCTCATTAGAGTAGCATCATCCGTCGGAGCCAATGGTTTAGTTTCTCCAGATGAGAGGACAATGGGAATCTTCTTCTTGGAAAGACTTAAAAGTTATTACATGCTCTAGAGAAAATTAGATTTATTATTTATTAATAGGTCTAAACTTACAGTGAATGAGAGTAATTAATATGCTCCTCTAGTTGGAATGAAGGCCAGGGAGAATTAAGCAAGAGTTTCAAAAACAAAAACTTGCTTGTGCTTAGTGGCTCAGAGAAAAAAATCTTTACTTTTATTCTGTCTCAATATAATATCACAAATGAAGAGTATCTTTTAGATAACAGATAGGCATATCCCATTTATTTATTTTATCTTGCTAGAAACATTACATGGGTCATATGTATTATATACTTATTTTTTATACGGGGTCTCACAGTGTAGGCCTGCTATTCTGGAACTTTCTATGTAGATCAAGTTGCTCTCACACTCACAGATCCTTATTTACTTTTGTCTCTTAGGTGCTGACATTAACAGTGTGTGTCACCACACCCAGCTTATAGATTTGTTAACAGAGTGATCTGCCTAGCATATGATATTTTTGAACACCAAGGAATTAAGTGCATTGAGACAAAGGCTGCGGGGGAGCATAGGAGTGAAAGAGCCCTATGCCAATTCATATAGCATCTTGGTATGAATAATCATTAGTTGTCCTGACCTACTTTGAACATGAGTCCCCTAGCATAAGTCCTCCCCAGCGCATCACTAATATTTGGGATCATTTTCATAAGGGAATTCTGCAATCTGGAGAGGAATGGCACCGTGTAAATTCAAGGTCAGATTTTATTGTATTACTTATTACTGTAAAACACAACCATCCCGGATACTTTAGTTATATTGAATTTTCTGTCTAAGGGAGACTTCCAAAATATCTCTAAATATCTTTTGTTTAGGCCTATACTATCTGCATTAATCTCTTTCTGGTCATAGAAATTAAATACAAAAAACCCAAATTTTTAATTAGTAATTATTTTATTAAAGCTTTTCATTTTCTTCTGGGAGAAATAACATTAAGGAGAGAAAGGAAACGGAAGACTGATTTGTCCTGTGACCTTGAGACTTACCCATCCTGTGACTCCACATATTCTGCTGCAGAGAGGCCAGCAAATATATGGCCCATCGCTCCAAGCTGAAAAGGTCTCCACATCTACAAGAGAAAGTGCGTGTACACCACTGGTCAGCATAAAACACCACAGGTATTTTAAAGATTCTGTGGTTGGAGAAAAAAATGAACCACATATACACCAACCTAGATTATAGCCTTAGGGTGCTCATGTTTGATTCATTTTAGAGGGTTTTGCTATCATAGTCAAATTTAATGAGTTACATCTGTTATCTAAAGGGCTGATTTGAAACTAATATCTGCCAATAATCTAAGTTTTACCTTAGGTTCTATTTTTTTTTCATTCTTATAGATGCCATGTAGCAAAGACCTTTCATTTCTGTCCCATTACACATACTACAATCCTCATTCTCATGAAGAGATCAGCAAAAATCCCAGCTTCTTGATTCAGAACTTTCTTATTGTTTTACAATTTTGTTGTAGTGATAAATGGAAACTAATGATAAGAGTTTAATTATAAAAAGGAAAATTAACATTGAGAACTTAGGTATAGTCAGACACTATTTGAATCAATGAAGATAAAAATGAAACTCATATCATTTGTGTAGCTGATATTTCCTGTAGGAAGAAAAATGAGAAAATAAGTAAACATAGATTATGAACTCATAGTTCTGACAGAGTCAAGAGCATTCTAATAACACATCACACACAAAGAATTGGTAAAGTCAGCTTGCAGGGGTGGGGAAGAATATATTTAAAGTATGCAGTGACATTTAGCAGTTGAGAAAAACGGAGACACATCTAGTTTCATGTGGGTGGGAGAAAAAATCTCTCTCTCTCTCTCTCTCTCTCTCTCTCGTGTGTGTGGGGGGGGGGTTGTGTGTGTTTATGTAATTCAAGGAGAACTGACTCCTACAAGTTGTACTCTGTCCTTCCAGGGATCAAATTCAGGTCATCAGTTTGGCAGCAATTCCCATTACACACTGCACCATCTCGACAGCCTGTGAATGAGTTTTCAAGAGGATGCTTGCACTTCAGTCTTCTCAGGACTGTGGAGATGAAGAAGGTGCATGATGCTTTGGACCATGGTGTGAAACACATTTCATGACACCTTCTCAAGTACAGTTTAATATGATAATAGCTATGGAAAACATTCAAGACTTGAAGGAGGAGAATGCTATGACTCGCTTCAGAAATTTGGTTCACATGCAAAATTGACAGCAAAGGTAGAGAAATAATTCTACCAACACAAGACTGTCACAATTTGTGTCAGGTTCACTGATCCTGAAGTATAAATTATAAAGCTAATGCCAATGGTCTAAGTATACCAATTAAAAGTTATATATTTTCAGAATGGTAAAAGCAACATTGATTTATATGTGACTTACAAGATCCATAATAATAAAACAGGCTGAAGTTAAAGGATGGAGGAAGATACAGTAGCTAAAACTAATTAGAACAGGAAGCCAGTGTTTATACAAATTTAAGACAAAACAAATTTAAGAGAAATTTGGGGATAGAGGGAAAAGGTCTGGTATGATAGGAAGATAATAGTCCTCAGATTGTATTTGCCTAAAAATTTTAGGACATTACAATACCTAAAGCAAAAAAGCAATTGAGACACAAGGAAAGATGAGTAAATCCATTATTAAATATGGAGAATTTTAAATTTTTACATAAATTAATCACTCTCCAGAGACCAAAATTTATTAAATGTATCAGAGAAATCAGCTTACATAATCAGCATTATATTTTATTTCATATAATACCACTAAGTACATATTTGTCTCAATATAGTCACCAAGATGAGTCATAAAAATTGTCCTAAACAGCTTAAAACTAGAAATTGAACAGTTTCTGCTCTTACTACACACAGAAGGCAGCATTAAAAAGGAAGAGGGAAGTGCATGTGTTTCTATTTATCATATGGGCAAAAGAAAAAGTCTCAGGTCATAAGAAGCAGGTTTTCTAAGTACTCCATACAAAATCATACTCAAAGAAACAGAGTAGATAAAAGGTTGTCTGTAGTTGGTAGAGGTGTCTGTACCATGGAAGAAAAGGAGAGAAATTCAAAGGGAGTGCACTTCCAGTTATAAAAGAAATAATAGACAATTTACTTACAAATTGTTTCTGTGGTTAAAGACAATGAAGTATGCATCTTAAACTTCATGAAGAAAGAAGATCTTCAGTATCCAGCTACACTCAAACACAAAATAAAACTATGGGTAGTAGTAAGCATGCAATTAGCTTTATAGAGGTAATCATTTCACAACATACACACACCAAAACATTATTGTTTACAACATGAATACATGCACTAGTTTAAAGTTATATACCAATAAATCTGGAAAACATTTTAATATAGTTCAAAGCAGGGTAAATAAAAATACAACAATCAAAATTGTTGGAGGCAATGAATTCATGATTTGTGGAGAAATAACACTCAGTGCTTATTGTAAGAATGAGGAACAATAGCTTAAGTTCCAATGTAGGTAAGTAGACAAAGAAACCACAGGGAAAAAAACTGAAAATGACATGCAGATACAACTTACTGAATGTAATAAGAGATATGCAAACCATATACCTGACAGGAACTTTTTATGTAAGAAACTCAAAAATCTACATATACAAAAAAGTGGCACTACAGTTAAATAGGCAAATGTATGAAAAGGAGACAATGCTTAGTAACAATCAAATACATGCATATCAAAGCCCTAATGAGCTAACCAGCCATTATCAAAAGAACAAAGAAATCAATTGCTAGCAATGATGCATAGGAAAATTACTACTTGCCCACCATTTTTGCATTATAAATTACTGGCTCCATTGGGTAGAACACTGAAGGCAGACCTCAAAAGAATAAAAACACAGTTTCCATATGATGTAGAAATCTCACTGTTAGGAAAATATCAAAAAGAATAACCTCACTGTGACAATAAGAAATTCTCCTGTGCATGCAGACCTACTCTAAATGTTCAAGAAACAGGAACAATGAAGAGTATTCCAGCAGTTGAGGGAATCAGATAGTGTAGCTTACTATTCAGTCAGAAGTGAACAAAACCTTGTCCTTTGAAGCCACATGGATATTATGTTAAGTAAAATAAGCAGGAAAGATAAATGAAGAATCACATGATTTTACTCGTATTTGGAGTCCAAAATATAAATGAATGATCATATCTGTAGAAACAGAAACAGTGATTATCAGAGACTGAGGAGAGAGATGCAGATGTGAGGCCTAAGAACCGGTTGATCAGTATCTCCTTAGTTGTTGTGATAAAGGAACAAGATTTATGGTGTTCTGTCTGACACCACAAGGTGACTACAGACAGCAATGCTATACTGTATGAATTAAGTTTCTACATGAATAGTTTTTGAGTTTTTACCAGAAAGAACTGATAAATGTATGATAAGATAAATGTATTTAACGTTACTCAAATGCATATTATTTCCATGTATTGAATTATTACATGATTACCTAAAAGTAAGTAGGTAATCTTTGTATTTCTTATGTTGCAGTAATATCCCTAAGCAAATCTATGATAATCAGAAGAAAATGAAGAAACCAATGAAATATTTTGAGAAAAACAGAAAATCCAGTAAGCTACAAGCTTCCTCTTTGGAAAGATTAGTAAAATCAATAAGCTTTGAGCTGGATGATAATGATAGACATACAGACAAATTATTGATACCAAAAATAAAAGGATATGCCACTAAAGATTCTAAAGACATTAAAAATAATAAAAATATTGAGTGAACTTAGGTTAAAAATTTAGAATTGGTTGATATGAACCAAATTACTCGAAAACTATATTTGTTAAGTAACTAAATTAAAATATAAACTTCTTATCAGAAAGCACCCAAAGAATATATGAACAAAGAATATTGCAAGTTTTCATATTTTGTGGCAATGAACATAAGTTTGTCAACAAAATATAAGCAAGTTTAATCTAATAATGCATAATTGTTTAGAGCTGTTCATTATAATTATTTCTCCCAAGTATGTAGGCTGATTAAACATTTGAAAGTCAATTATGCAACCAATTATCAACAAACCAGAGAATTAAAAACGGTCAAAAATCTAATCACTAGATACACAAAACCAGTGAGAAGGAAGGAAAACACCTGTCTTTGTCCATAGCTAGTATTATCATAAATGTAGAAAATCTGAAACTGAGCATGTACACACACACACACACACACACACACACACACATACACACACACACACACCTAGAATCTATAAGATTTAGCAACATTGCAGAAGGCAATATTTATATACCAAAAATTTAAATTTTTTCTGTGTATCAACAGTGAAGAAATAAAAATAGAATTTCAAACATAGTTTCATTTTGGTTTGAACAATATAATAAAATTGCTATAAATCTATCAAGATATGTCAATACTTTTAAAAGTTTATCTGTCTTAGTGTTTTGTCTACAAATGTATGTGATCCCCAAACATGTGCCTGGTGCCTGTGGAGGCCACCAGAGAATGTCAACTCCTCTGAAACTAAACTTACAGATGTTTGGAGTTGCTATGTGAGTTCAAACAATTAAAATTTGGTTCTCTGAGAGAGAAACCAATGTTCTTAAACCCCTGAAACTTTTTTTCCATCACCCATATGTACAACATTTTTTTCTGATTGAAAATTCAAAACTTTGATGAAAGCTATCAAAGAATAAATATAGCTCTTGTTTTTTTGTAACCTTACCATTATACATAAAAGGATATGCTTTCTATGGAAATCTTGCTTCAAACACTGAATTGGGTTTTGTTACTGGGCTAATAATGTATGTCATGAGATTCTCTGACAGTAGTGAATCATGGCAGGAAGCTGCAGCTTCAGTCAGCTAAACTATCTACTCTACAGTGTTCCTACAATGTGGTGTTCTTAGATAGATAGGCTATACATATTAAGCTCACTTTCAGCTTGCATTTTCATTACTAAGATTCAAGTAAGAACATTTTTAACATTTTTTAAATTTTAAATAGCTTGATTTACATGTCAATCCCAGTTCCCTCTCCCTCCCCTCCTCCCGCACCCCCTCATACCATCCCCCCATCCTCCTACCCTATTGCTAATTCCTTCCGCATAGGGGATATCTAGAGTTTATCATTTCATTCAGGGTAGGGTCCAGGCACTTCCCTAAGAGTCCAGGCAGAGAGAGCAATCCTCTTTGTGTTATGGACACACGATGTCTGTTAGTATTCGAGGGATAAACACCGATCCACTGCTCAGGACCCCATAGGTAGCCCAGGCCTCCTCTCACATTCAGGGGGTCTGGATCGGTCCCATGCTGGCCTCCCAGCTGTTGGTCTGGGGTCCAAGAGCTCTCCCCTGTTCGGATCAGCTGTCTCTGCTGGTTTTGCCAGCCCATTCTTTGCCAATTTTCTCTTCACTCCTCTCTCTCTTTTAATGGTGAGAGAGAACCTACGTTCAGGGATATTTAGAGTCATTTTTGTCAAAGATGTAGGTTCTGCCCACTTAGATCTGTATATACTATACAACCCCCATCAACATTTGGCAGGTTTCTGGGTTCACTATTGTTCAGAATGTTCAGAACAAATGACTATTCACTGCTCAACCCTAAATGAAGCATCTCTATCATTGCCTCCTGGGTAAGTAAAAATCCCCGAAGAGGGGGTGGAAGGAGTTTAAGAATCATAGTCAGGGATTTTGTGCTGGGAAATGCTGTCTTCAGACGATGGAAAGTCCATTAAACATTTGAACCATTTAAACAATAATTACCTCCAAGAACCCCACACTACATTGGGGCCCCCAACATTCTATCCTGAATATTGAAGAAACTTACAAGACTCAAGGCATCCCTGAGGTGATTATTGTCAGTTCATAGTTTCTGGAAAAGAGGGACATTTCTCTTTTCAGTGTTCTAGCCACAGGAAAATTTATGTGTTGTGGTGAATATTCAGCCCCACATACTTACATTAGCAACCATAATGAAACTAATGAAATATTTGAATGTATAAGGAGGAATATTTGAGAAGAAGAAGGTGTTCATTGAGGAGACAAGAAAGCAGGAAGTCACATGATCAAAAGATATTAAATACTGTATGAAATTGTTAAAAAACAAATAATTAAAAAATATATTTCTTTCTAAAATTTGCTTATTCCAAAGTTCATATGGAGATAGCAAGTAACCAAAATAAATGACTCAATAGGAATGTAAAAGCAATACTGGATGATTGACACTGTCTAACTTCACGACATATTATAAAACACCAGTATTAAAGCTAGTGTCCTACTGGGGAAAAATGAGTGGGTGGAATAGTAGAGAGAGTCCAGAAATAGTCCTACAAATAGATAAGTGGTCTTTGAAAAAGGAACAGACAATGTGACAGAGGGAGTCTTTTCAATGACCAGTGCTAGAACGACTGGACACTTAAACACCAAAAGAGTATGAAAATAAAATAAATCCAGACCCAGACCTTATACCTCTCATAAGAATCACCTAAAAACAGAGCACAAATATAAGCTACAGAAATGTGAGAAAAAAACTTTACTTGAGCTGGGCATGGAGGTGACTATTCTAGAAATAATATGTCAGCAAGGATACAAGAAAGAAATATTTGATAATTTGGGTATTTCAATGAAATAAGAAGACAAATCATAGACTGGACATAACTATTAGGAAAGCTATTTGATAAAGGACAATTGCTTGAAATACACAAAGAGCTCTTAAATTTTTGCAGTAATCCAAAACACCAATTGAAACATGGAATAGATATGCTGAGTTGTTGCACCAACGAAGATACACAGGTGATAGCTGATATATGCTCCACAGCATAGAACACTACACAATTTCAAATACAAATTAAAAGAGATGTCATTTCTCTTTTCACCTATGAGAAGGATTTATATCCAAACCAAGCCATCTCTAAATGCTGAGGAGATTAGAAAGCAACAGTCACCCTCTTTCGTTTTTTTTAGCAGAAATGAAACATTGTATGGTCACAATTCAAGATTTTTTTAGCGGTTTCTTATATAATTAATCATAATCTTACCTTATAATCTGGGAGTCATGCTTATTGAAATAAACTCAAATGAAAGGAAAACATATGTTCACGCAAAGAGTTTTATCTGAATGTTTATAACAACTTTATTCATAATTATTATGAGTTGATTATAGCCAAGGTGCTCTTGTGGAGGCAAATGGTGGCACACATGAACTGTTCGATAGTAAAAATAAATGAGTTATCAAACCATGAACAGATGTGGAGGAATCTCAAATTCTTTGATAATAAAAATCTAATCTGATAAATGCACAAACAGTGGTATTCCAGGTTGAGAAATGATCAATGTCTCCTGGCAGGAGGAGCACAGGATGATCAGCTAGAGTACAGAACATGCCTGAGACAATAAAATAGTTATTCATGTACTGTTGTGATTATATTCATTGTAGATTTGTCCAAACCCATAGGAAGTACACTACTAACTACAAAACCTGTTACATACTTCAGGCAGGGGTGATAGTGGTATGTCAGCAGTAGTTCAATTGTAATAAATGTGCCACTGTGGTGCAAGATGTGATGTCAATACTGACAGAAGTTAGAAAGTGTTGGGCATGTGGCATACTGGAGCACAATATACATTCTGCTCACTTTTATTGTGGGCCTAAACCCCTCTAAAATCAAGTTAGTAAATGACAAGAGATCATTGGAACTGTTTTATGTGTGTTAGTACTCTGTAGGCTCCCAAAAGACAAAGGTGGACACTAATCTATCCACAAAATCTTCAACCTATAATCTGTCCTGAATGCAAAATATGACAGGGCAATGGTGGCAAAGACCTTGTGGCAGTAGCCAACCGGTATCTGATTTGGCTTAAGCCTACTCCATGAGATGGAACCCGTGCTCAACACCAAGAACCAAATATTTGATAGCCTAGAGACCTAGGGTAAAATCAAACACCAAAGGTAAAAAAATAAAATAAAACAGAATAAATTGACTCCTAATGATATTCTGCTATCCTTATCTAGATAAGACAATGCCTTATCGAGTCATCATCAGAGAAACTTCCTCCAGGGACAGATCAGAACACAGAGACACACAGCCAGATATTACATAGAGAGTTTAAATGGGATGTCTCCATCAGAGCTTAGGGAATGCATGAAAGAGAAGGAAGAAAGATTGTAAGAGCCAGAAGGGATGGAGGATACCAGGAGAACTGGGCCCACTGCATCAACCCACCAAGACACAAATGATCTCACAGAGACTGAAGCACCAAGCACAAGACCTAAAGAGTCTGTACCAGGTCCTCCTTGTATATATTATAGCTTTTAGCTTAGTGTTTTCATGAGACTCCTAACAGTGAGAAGGTCTCTGTCTCCTTGGCCTGCTCTTGGGACTCTTTTTCTCATACTGGGTTTCCTTACCCAACTTTGATATGATAGTTTTTGCTTCATCATGTTTGCTGGTTATCTCTTAGAAGCCTGTTCTTTTCTAAGGGAGACAGATGGGAAATGGATTCAGAGAGCAGGGGAGATAAAAAGGAACTGGGAGGTGTAGAAGGAGGGGAAACTAAACTATAATCAGGATATATTGTGTTAGAGAAGAATCTCTTTTCAATAAAGTGAAAAGTGGGAAAAACACAAATAAGGGCAAAATACAGTCATAATCTTTAGGCTCAACTTCTCACATCTCCTTCTGAATTCAAAGTCTAATAAGAATGATACTCCCCAAACTCTTCATATTAGTACATTCCTCCAATTAGAGGGCTTAAAGGCAATTGGTTCCCAAAAGCCACACAGTGCAAACAGTCAATATGAGTTCAACAGACTCTAACATGTGTGTCCCAAATCAGTGGATTTAGCCAGCGTCCTTTTCCAGGCAGCTAAATTTTCCCTTTGAAGTGTTCACCAAAGGTCAGAACCAGTTCAACCATCAAAGCTTTACAAATTAAACAGTTTCCTTATGGAAGAGGAAGTCGACTTACCGAAGCAACACTATTGTGAGCCAGTCTGGCTAACCTTCAACTAGGATGCATTCCACACTAGGGAGATCAATACTGCACACTATCCCAGAACTGACCCAAGACACTGAATAGAATGGACCCTTTATAAATGAAAATCCTTACCTTCTTAATTCAGAGTTGCTGGGGATTCCAACTGTCTCACTCACTCTGCTTACTGTTAATTCTGTAAGAAGAATAAAGTGGGAGAAATAATAAAAAATGTGCAGGAACATGGATGTCAGGACATTTTCTTTTTTTCCCTTTTTTTAAAATTTAAATTAGAAATAATCCTATTTTATATATCAATCCCAGTTGTCTCCCTCCAATGTCTACCACCGATCCCAATCCCATCTCTTCTGCTCCATAGAAAGGTGAGGCCTTCTATGGGAGATCATTAAAGTCTGTCACATCATTTGGGGCAAGGTGTAAGCCTTCCTCCATATGTCTAGACTGAGAGGGCATCCCTTTATGGGGAATGGGCTTCCAATATCCATTCGCACACTAGGTATAAATGCTGCTCTATTACCAGGGGCCACATAGACTCCCTAGGCCTCCTAACTGATACTCACAGATATGGACCCTGGTTCCATTCTATGCTTGTTTCCAAACTGGGTTTCATGAGTTCCCTCTTGTTCAGATCAGCTGTTTCTGTGGGATTCCCCAACATAGTCTTGACCCCTTTGTTCGACACTCATCCCTCTCTACAACTAGATTCCAGGAATATGGCTCACTGCTTAGCTGTGGGTCTCTGCTTCTGCTACCGGAAGGCACATAACACAGGCAGCATTCAATCTCATTATAGGCCTCTCCCCTTTTGCTTAGATTCTCAGTTTGGGTCAACCGAGTATGTCTCTGGACATTTCCCTACTGCCAGGTTTCTCATTCAATCTATAGTGGCTCCCTCTATTAAGGTATCTTTTTGCTTGCTGGCCTCTATTCTTCCGCTGACTCAAACTTCCTGGTCCATCATGTCTTCCTTACCCCTCCTCTTCTCCCCTTCTCTTTCTCCTAACTCTGTCTCCCCTTTTCTCATGCTCCTAATTTTCTCAGGAGATCTTGTCCCTTTCCCCTTCTCCGGGGGACCATGTATCCTTAGGGTCCTTTTTGTATCCTAGCTTCTCTGGAGGTGTGGATTGTAGGCTGGTTGTCCTTTGCTCTATGTCTAAAACCCATACACAAATGAGTACATACCATGTTTGTATTTTGTGACAGGGTTACCTCACTCAGAGCGGTTTCTTCTAGTTCCATCCATTTGCCTGTGAATGTCAAAATTCCATTGTTTTTGTTCTGCAGAGTAATACTCCATTGTGTAGATGTACCACATTTTCTTTATCCATTCTTCAGTTGAGGGACATCTTGGTTGCTTCCAGGTTCTGACTATTAAAAATAATACTCCTATGAACATAGTTAAAGAGATGTCCATGTTATATGAATGTGTATCTTTTGAGTGTATGCCTAAGAGTAGAATTATTGGGTATTGAGGTAGACTGAATCCAAATTTCTTGAGGAACTGCCATACAAATTTCAGAAGTGCCTGTGCAAGTTTACACATCCACCAGCAGTAGAGGAGTGTTCCCCTTTCTCCATATCCTCTCCAGCATTGTGGTTTTGATTTTAGCTATTCTTACAGGTACAAGATGGTATCTCAGAGTTGTTTTGATTCACATTTCCCTGGTAGCTAAGGATGTTGTGTACTTTCTTAAGTGACATTTAGCCATTTTGGGTTCCTCTTTTGAGAATTCTCTATTTAGTTTTGTACTCTACATTTTTTTATTTTATTTTCCAGTTTAAATTTAGATAAGAAACAAGGTTGCTTCACAAGTCAGTTCCAGGTCCCTCTCCCTTTCCCTCCCCTCCTCCCATGCCCTCCCCCACCCCACCCCCGCTATCCCCTCATTCCCCCAGGGAGGGTGAGGTCCTCCATGGGGGTGTCCATAGTCTGTCATTTCATATAGGGCAGGGCCTAGACCCTTCCCCAAGAGTTCAGGGTCAGAGTGCACCTCACATTTTTCTATGGGAGTCCAAAGTCCGTGTGTATACTTGGGATGGGTACTGATCTGCTGCCCAAGGCTCAATTGGTGTTTTGGTGACTAGCTTCTTGTGTTCTTTGTATATTTTGGAAATAAGGGCTCTGTCAGATGTGGGGTTGGTGAATCTCATTTCCCATTCTATCCTTTGCCTTACAGAAGTTTCTCAGTTTCAGGTGGTCCCATTTACTGATTATCGATGCTATTGGTGTTATGTTCAGGAAGCAAAGCAGTATCATGTACCAATTTGTTCAAGGATACCACCTACATTCTCTTCTAAGAGGTTCAGTATGGCTGGATTTATGTTGAGATCTTTGATCCATTTGGATTCAAGTTTTGTGCATGGTGATAGCTATGGATTTATCTGCAGTCTTCTACACAAGCATGCAGTTATGCCAGTACTATTTGTTGAAGATTCTTTTTTCCATTGTATAGTTTTAGCTTCTTTGTCGAAAATCAGGAGTTCATAGGTGTGTGAGTTAACATCAGGGTTTTATATTCAATTCCATTTGTTCACCTGTCTATCTTTGTGCCAATATCAAGTTGTTTTCTTTCAGGACTATAGCTCTATAATGGAGCTTGAAGTCAGGGATGGTGATGCCTCCAGAAGTTCATTTATTGTACAGGAGTTTTGAATATCCTGGATTTTTGTTTTTTCCATTTAAATTTGAGTATTGTTCTTTCAAGGTCTGTGAAGAATTGTGCAGTTATTTTAATGAGGATTGCATTGAATCTGTGGATTTCTTTTGGCAAGATTGCCAGTTTTACTGTTTTGGTTCTACCAATCCAAGAGCATGGGTGATCTTTTCATTTTCTGTTATCTTCTTTAATTTCTTTCTTTAAAGACTCAAAGTTCTTGTTATACTGGTCTTTAACTAACTTATTTGGTTAGAGTTACCCCAAGATATTTTATGTTGTTTGTGGCTGTTGTAAAGGGTGATGTTTTGCTGATTTCTTTCTCAGGTCATTTATCATCTGTGTATAATAGGGATACTGAATTTTTTGAGTTAATCTTTTATCCTGCCACATTGTGGAAGGTGCTTATCAGTTGTAGGATTTCCCTGGTAGAGTTTATCAGGTCACTTACGTAAACTATCATATCACCTGCAAATAGTGCAAGTTTGATTTCTTCTTTTCCAATTTGTATCTCCTTGATCTCCTTTTGTTGTCTTATTGCTCTAGAAAGGACTTCAAGTATAATATTGAAGAGAGTGGACAGCTTGTCTTGTTCCTGATTTTAGAGGAATTGCATTGAGTTTCTCTCCATTTAGTTTGATATTGGCAGTTGGTTTGCTATATATTGCTTTTATTATGTTTCGGTATGTTCCTGCTATCCCTGATCTCTCTAAGACCTTTAAAATGAAGGGGTGTTGGATTTTGTCAAAGGCTTTTTCAGCATCTAGTGAGATGATCATGTGGTTTTTCTTTTGCAGTTTTCTTATATGGTTGATTGCATTGGTGCACCCTGCATCCCTGGGATGAAGCCTACTTAATCATGGTGTATGATTTTTCGATTGTGTTTTTTTATTCAATTTGCCAGCATTTTATTGAATAATTTTTGCATCTATGTTCATTTGGGATATTGGTCTGTAGTTCTCTTTCTTAGTTGTGTCTTTGTGTGTCTTGGTACCAAGATAATTGTAGCATTGTTAAAAGGATTTGGCAATGACCCATCTGCTTCTGTTGTGGAACAGTTTGAGGAGAATTGATATAAGCTCTTCTTTGAATTTTTGGTAGAATTATGCACTGAAACCATCTGGCCCTGGGGTTTTTGGAGGGGGGAGAGACATTGGATGACTACTTCTAATTCATTAGGGGTTGTATTTCTATTTAAGTTGTTTATGTTTTTAATTTAATTTTGGTAAGTGATATCTATTCAGAAAATTGTTCATTTCCTTTAAATTTTCGAATTTTGTGGAGTACAGGTTTTCAAAGTATGACCTGAAGACTCTTGGGATTTCCTAAGTGTCAGTTTTTATGCCCCCCTTTTCATTTCTGATTTTGTTAATTTGCAAGTTCGCTCTCTGCCTTTTGGTTATTTTGTATAAAGGTTTGTCTATCATATTGATTTTCTTGAAAAATCTAGTCTTCGTTACATTGATTCTTTGTATTGTTTTCCTAGTTTCTACTTCATTGATTTTGGGTCTCAATTTGATAACTTCCCGATGTCTATTCTTTCTGGTGAGTTTGCTTCTTTTTGTTCCAGAGCTGCTAATTCTCTAGTGTGACTATTCCCCAGTTTCTTCATGTGATCACTTAGTGCTATGAACTTTCTTCATAATACTGCTTTCAATGTTTCTTATAAGTTTTGGTATACTGTGTCTTCCTTCTCATTGAACTCTAGGAAGTCTTTAACTTCTTTTTTTTTTTTTTTTATTTCTTCCTTGACCCAGGAATGGTGCAACTGAGCATTGTTCAGCTTCCATGAGTTTTAGAGTTTCTGCAATTCTAACTTTAAAGCTTAGTGGTCTGAGAAGATACAGGGGGTTACTCCATTTTTTCTGTTGAGATTTGCTATGTTGCCAAGTATGTCGTCAATTTTAGAGAAGATTCCACGTGGCTCTAAGAAGAATGTATATTCTTTTTTTTTCTTATCTTTAGTCTAAAGTTCTAATAATTTTTACTTCTCTTAGAAACTAAAACATTTTGTTAACATTACAAGGTGACATAAGAATGTATATTCTTTTGTGACTGGATTAAATGTTCTGAAGATGTTTGTTAAACCCAATCGGATCATAACTTCTGTTAGTTCCTTTGTTTATATTTAAGTTTCTGTCTGGTGGTCCTGTCTAGTGGTAAGAGTGGGGTGTTGAAGTCTCCCACTCTATGTGAAGTGTTACGTGTGATTTGAGTTTTAGTAATTTTTTTTTAATGAATGTGGATGCCTTTGTATTTGGGCCATAGATGTTCAGTATTGAGGCTTCATCTTGATGGATTTTTCTTGTGATAAACATGAAATGACCTTCTTTTGATTGATTTTAGTTTGAAATCTAACTTTTAGATATTAGAATTGCTACACCCACTTGTTTCTTGTGTCCATTTGTTTGGAAAATATTTTCCCAACCCTTAACTCAGAGGTAATGTCTGTCTTTGAAAATGAGCTGTGTTTCTTGTATGCAGCAGAAGGATGGATTCTGTCTTTGTATGCATTCTGTTA